GCCCATCCTCCAAACATGTTATTGATGAGCCTGCGGCGGTCGTCTCTCCACCAATTATCATCATTTGATCCGGGTACGGAGTGAAGCACTGATGCCCTGCTCGCGCGTGGGAATCCCTGCCATCGTTGATCTGAGTCCACGTGAAAGATGGGAGAGAGAGAACCCAGACGTCATCGTAAAATGATTTTGTGGAGTTGATGCCTTCGGTTCCACCATAGTAATAGATGTTGTAGCTGGAGCTGTCGGATGCTGTGGCCACGACAGCGCATCCAAGAGCTCGGGCGCTGGGCCCATCTGCAGTTGGTTGCGTATACCACTTACCACTGGCGACGTCGTAGACATCAATCACACGCATAAATGTCGGGCTTTGAGATTCCTATACATCTATCATTAGATCCATGTATCAGAGGGGGCCAAATCCAACAAGGCGTCTTACACTAGCTGTGGCATTTTCAGACCTGTCACTTGCATTGTCATAGTATGGAAAGATGACACCCCCAAGAGCGACGAGTATGCCTTTCGCGCCAACAGGAACCCAAACCAGCGCAGGGTTTGCGCGGCCCTTGGCTGTAGTAGTCTTGTTGCTCCATTTCTCGTCTCCTTGTGTGGTCATATCAAGAGTTATCAGGGAGTTGGTGATCCTTGACGGCCTCGTGGTCTCGTTATAATTTTGAAAGATTGACTTGCCAGACTGGGAGGTCTGCCCAGAAAAATACCAAGCGAGGTTCTCGGATGGAGCATTGGCTGCACCCCCAAAGGTGACAAACTGGCTCACACTATTCGGCAAGTTGTCCAATCTATGAAGTCCTGGTTCGAAAAGAGGTTTCTCAGCTCCGTACTGGTAGGCCTGATAGACATAGAGGCTATGTGCGGTTGGATCTGCATATTGTATGGTATTTTCAAGCGGTAGGCCACCATAGAAGAAGAATTCGTCGTCATTAGCCAGGAGGGCGCCGTCGACGTAGTTTGGTGTGTCACCGTTGACTCCTTGCCCTCCCAATGCCTTTGATATGTTTTGCTGCAGCAAAAGACCTGTGACGTTGGTGTCTGGGGTAAATGCATAACTCAGATTATACGTGAGCATATATCCCGGAATGTTTCCTATGAATAATAAGTAACTGGCTTCACAAAAATTGTAAGCTCTACACACCGTTAGATACGGGACTTCCGGTTGATCCATCCTTGAAACCCGGCAGCCATAAGATATTACCTCCATCTATGAAGATCTTATTTCGGATAAGAGCCGCTAGATTTTGCTATCAGCTACCGTCTGAGGTGCAAGTAGAATGGATATGATTATGTTACCTCTCGGCTCTGACCAGGTGCATATTGTTGTATTAATCTGATTATCAGCCCAATTACTGAACTGAGCTTGAGTGGGACGCAGTAAAAGCGCCAGGAGAGCGGCTCTCATGGTATGGTTAGGTGCCATGATTTCCTGGCCAGCGGCGGGAGCCGGTGAGAAGTGAGGTCGAAATCAGCAGTTGCAGTGAATTGAACCAGTGAGCATGATATAGTGACGAGTGAATGCGGATGTTCTCCAAGACGAAAATATAGGTATCAGAATTCTACTAAGCCATAGGGGGGAAAGGAATACGGTGAGGTGATCTTGAGACGGTGATCTTGAGAAGGTGACAAGGTGAGAAATCTGAATTGCCTGGGACCGCAGCCTTGTCCAGCCAAAGGCAGGAGGTTGAAGAGGCGGGCAGCTAATACAATGGCAACGCCGGAAGATAGATCGGCTGGGGCGTGTGTATAGGGCGATATTCAGGGCACAGCTACCCACGAGCTGAGGCTGGTTTAGATACGGTGACTACCCGATTCTGTACGATTAACGAGGTGATCGTGGACGAGGGGCACATCAATGCAGGCTTCAGGAAGCTAGAGCGCGAACGACCGGCCAAAGCGTGGTTAAGAGGCCCAGAGACGTGGTACGCAGGGCGGGCCACTAGCTGGAACTCGGCTACAGATGGATTGAGGCACAGAAGCATCTCATCTCACGTTGGGATGGCAGGCAGCCTGTGGGCCACAGAGGTCGCACATGACGGGAAGAGAAAGCCAGCAGTGTTCCGGGATTCCCAGTGGCAATGCGAACAGTTGCTTCTGCTCGTCCTAGCCGTGCCGTGTACGGAGCCACAGCATGGCCCAGTCCCGACGGGTCGACAGGCTAAAGACAGGCTCATCGCGCCGACTGGTAGCATTGGCAAGCTTGGCCGGGAGTATCTGTAATCGGGCATAGCCACAAGCAATGTATTCTTCAGCATGGTGACAGATACTGTACAGTACTCGTACGGGTGAAAGGTCGCGCAGAGGCCCTAGGCTGGGATCAGTAAGATCATGTTGCGTGATGCTTCCTGATTTGCCTATTATTGTCCAGCCCAGCAGACCGGCCTGGGCGAAAGAGTCAGTCAGTCTCGTCGGTGACAAATGACGGTGTGGGTAAGATGAGCATAGCACTAGCAGTCCCCGAAAATCTAGCTGCTTACGAGGACCTTTGTTGCCAGCAGGACGGACCTGAGGGAATGAGGTGGGATGCCTCGTTCACCCAACAGACGAGTAAGCTTGTTGACAACTCATCGGGAATATGGCTCTTTTTGGAGTGGTTGCGGCCTTGGGCGAAGGACGAAAAGCATACATGGACATGCATAAGGCAGGCCCCGCCCCGGTGGATTTCGAAGGATCGTCTATGTATAGTAGCACCACTCCCGCTTGGCGCTCCATGATAGTGCCCTTGGTGTTGTGTGTGTGTGGGATGTGGTGATGCCCAAGTGCCGGCCAATCGAGGGTTTCGCCGCGCAGCCTTGTCGGAAGCATGGGACGATAGACAAAAAAGAGATGCTCAACTCGCAAAACAACGAGCAGAAAGTACGAGTATTGTGGCAGATCGGGATTGAGGCACAAGTTGCAGCTGATGCTGATGGTATTGTTGATTGGGTTAGGTTGCTTAGGTTGTCAAAAGGTACTGACTGGACCCAGACTCGACCCGTAGGGATCAGAGCTCGAGAGCTAAGAAGCTCCCACTGGAACTAGAACAGGGGTCTAGGTGGTGAATTCCTTCGGAGCCTTAGCGGGCCCCTCTAGCGCTTCCTTAGTGGGCGAGAACACCTGAGAGCCCTGGGCCAATCGCCGGGCTGCAAAATAGATTGCTGAGGGGTTTGGCGCGCAAAAGCCAGCCGACGTAGCTGCCGGTTCGGGGCAGGCACAGCTCACTAACAATCGGTACGTATTCTGTTAGCACCACTGTTAGCACCAGACTTTTTTGCAACTGGCTAAGCCTTGTTCGAAGCTCTCGCCAGACCTCCAACCTCTCAATTGCTGACATGCCACGACTCAAAATAACAACAGCTGCCGCAGAGCCTCCATCAGCAGAAATTTCTCTCTCTTCAGCGCCCGCAGCTCGCCCACAGCCCAAGACAGGACCCTAGCGTGCCCCGCATCTGCCTTCTGGGTGCTCAACTCGGTGTTCCAACATGGAAGAAGCAGCTCTTTGCCAGACTGTTACACTCGCCGCGACCTTGTTGCTATCTCTCGGGCCTTGCCGCCCTACCCGTTTCGAGTACAACTCGATGCAATGCAACGGCGGGGTGGCACAAACTCGGGCAGCTTCTCCTCGTGTTGCCGTAGAGCGAGGGCGTTTGCGTTTGCCGGGCTTGAGATCGAAGGATTACTCGCCAGATACTCGCACAGGCCCCGTCAACGTGGAGAGCCTGGAGAACCCAGCTCCATCTCTTTCTGCACCAGTCTGGACCCTTCTTTCGTCGATTACTTGATGGTGTCCAACTTCAGCTTTTGGCGCTTCCTCGCTCGCCTACCAACTGTGCTCGTATGTCGTATTAGTTATGCCGACCCTCAGTCTGGAAACTCGTCCGCGTAAGGTCGGCCATTGATTCTCCCGGATACAAGGACCTAGATGCGCAATCCCTGCCGGTGGTGACATCCAGCAAATATCTGGTTCCCCTCCATTCGTCCTCCCAAGGCTTGGAGGCTCTTGGAGGGCTACATTGCCACTGCCTTGTGTGTCCTTGCATCTGCTCCAGCCACTCCAGCACTCGAGATCCCTGTCACTCGCATATGCTCTCCGTATACGGTTAGTGGCAATCAAGGTTTCTTGAGGAGGAAATTTTCTATCAGTCAACCATTAGCATGACAGCTTTGTGGGTGGCCGGAGACAGCTCGGGGAGGGGTTCGTGAGTTGCTTCAGGCACTTGGCGTCCGGCTTGCCTATCACCGGCCGGATCCCTGCCAGAGTTGCGCCACGCAAATCAGCCCAGTTGGGTCTTTGCTTCCTGGCCCTAGGCCTTACGAGGCTTGCCTTACAGAAGAGGATACTGGAAATGCTGTGGCTGTTGACGATCCCTTTGTTGTTGTCCTCGCCCTCACTTATCCGTTCTCTCGGTCAGACATGATCCGTCTGCCGGGGGTCGTCCAACTCGGCCTGCATGTGTTGTCGCCTTCCCTGCCAATTGGCCCATGATGAGAATATAGGAATTGGCTGACTTTTCCGTGGACAATGCCCATTGGCCTTTCCTCCCCAGGGGTTCGACATATTTGATTAGTCCCCCACGGCGCCAAATCAGCCTTGCTCTCCACGGAGTATGTACAAGCGGTCAAATTTGATCCTAGGTGAAGTGAGGTGAGTCTTACACGCGCACGCCACGCAATGGCCTAGCTTGACTAGTATCCCGTTGACCAGGGGGGATTGCACCAGCTTCGGCTGCATACTACGGTGCGGTATGGGTTGTACTAGCAGTATACGCCATATCTATTCCGTGCCTCCATAAAGAGCCGCCAGTCAGGAACGAAGCTCGTCTTCTTTCTTCATTGTCACATCTGTTGTCCCGTCTTTGCGTGTGTTTTCAGCCATTCTCTCGCTCTCCCTTTGTCCTGGCCCATTTGCTGGCCTCGGCTCATCTCCAGCCTTCTGGCTACCTTCCATCGTTTTAACATAACCAAGGGACGCACTCGTTTCCTCTTGTTGTGTTGGAATAGAGCAGCCCAACATGCGTTTGCTTACGTCCATTTCGATTGGAGCCTTTGCGGGCGCAGTTGCTGCCGCAGCCCAGCCCAGCCTCCAAACAGTATATACCAAAGAAGCGGTTCGTATATACGGTTCATCGTGAGGTGTATCTACATCAAGCTGATATTAGAGTTGCATAGGCTGAACACAAACCAACGCCGACTGCTGCCTTGGAACTGAGGAATGCAGATGCGGCAGCCACAACAATCGTTTCTCCTCCTACGTTCCAAGTCACTCTCTGTCCACAACCAACCGGATTGCCTGCGGCGAGGTTTAAGACAGTGGCCGGCAGCTTGTATGGGTGCCAACCTGGATATGTTTGCAACCTCCCCAAGCCAGAGGGATGCAACTTCTGGCCAGGACCTCCCCCAAGCGGCTTTCACTGCCCGCCTGAGTTTTGTATAGTGGCTCCTCCTCACCAACTCCCGGAGTGGAATGGCAAGCCGGGTTACCTTCCGCCCCAATTTGGTTATTTCAACCTGAACCCGGAGGATTTCGGACTGTCTTATGACATCTTCGAGTACAGTGTTGTTCGAAAAGCATCGGGTGGGCACACGTCGACTTACACGACTGGCAACTGGGAGTCCCAATCCGACTTGACAAACGGACCAGTGCAAACGCCCCCGCCCTCATACAGGAAACGTTACAGTCCGACCAAGCCGCAAGATTACCGGAGGGCAATCAAGCACTCAAAGCGCGACGATACCTTACCGTCGGGATGCTTGGACAAATGCCAGGCCGCATATGACATCGTTCAGGAGGACGGCAAGATCCCGGCACTGTGCGAACCCGGATCTGGCTTCGAGAATGCCTTGGCCAACTGCGTTACATGTATTGCCACCGGTCTGAATATCCCAGATGACCAAGTGAAATCACACCTGAACGCAACGTACCAAGACTTCCTCTTCTTCTGCGATGGACTTGGAACGACACCAACCCAATCGACAACATCGGGGCCCGAGTCACAAGTGACGACGACGCCGACGCTGGGAACCACTTCACAGGTCTCTGCAAGCGACACGTCTTTCATTGACTCAACAACTTCGAGCTCCGTGCAATCGACTACTAAGCAGTCCACTACCGCACCCCCTCCTCCTCCTACAACCTCAAGCACAACCAGCTCGAGCAGCCCTCCTCCCCCTCCTCCAACCAGTTCGAGTAGCCCCCCTCCAACCAGTTCGTCTCAGCCACCAAGCTCTACACCTCCGACATCGTCCTCATCGCCTCCGCCGCCGCCAACTTCTTCGACCTCCAGTTCCTCTACGCCACCTCCTGCGTCCTCTACGCCACCTCCTGCGTCCTCTACGCCACCTCCTGCATCTTCTACGCCGCCACCTGCATCCTCTACTCCCTCTTCATCGCCTCCATCATCGCCTCCTCCTTCAAGCTCAGCTTCGTCTGCCAGCAGCGCCTCTGGTTCAGCATCATCAAGCGCACCCACATCGGGATCTGCCTCTTCTGAAACAGGTACGGCATCCAATAGTGCTAGCAGTGAAACGGGGTCAACGTCGGCGTCCGCATCGTCATCGGCGTCGGCCTCAAATGGTGCTTCTGCCACCGGTCCATCAGCCTCCTCACCCACCACGGGGGAGACTGGAGCCGGATCCTCCTCGACAGGTACTAATTCCCCAACCGGCGCCGGTTCCTCGACTGGCGCCGGCTCCCCAACTGGTACCGGTTCCCCATCCGGCACCGGTTCCCCATCTGGTACCGGTTCCCCATCTGGCACCGGCTCCCCCTCGGGAACTGCTGCCGGAACAGGCACCACTGTCGGGACTGGTGCTGGTGGCTCGACGGCTGAGACCGGTACCGGCTCCCCAACCGGAGGCGCTACCGGGACAGAGCCTCCTTCAGTGACAGGATCTGCTACCGAAACGGGCACTAACGGCTCAACAGGCTCCACGTCCCCTCCGACGGGATTCTCTTCTCCTGGGCAACTGGAAAGGGCAAGCTCAACCGCTGCTGGAAACAACGGCGGTGGTGCTGGCGGTGCTGGACCAACTGGATCGCCCGGCGGTGGAGGCAACCCCGGCGGTAACCCCGGCGGCAACCCTGGTGGCAACCCCGGTGGCAGCGGCGGTGGTTCCGGCGGAGCCACGGGAACAGGCCCTATCACTTCACCAACGAGTGGTCTGCCGGTCTCGAACGGCCTCTCGCGAGCAAGTGAGAACTTTGGCCTCCTAATTGCGGCTCTTATGGGCCTGTTGGTGGTTTAAACGCGAGGTTGTTTTCACCCTCGTGTGCGTGCGCGCATGTGTGTTGGAATGATATGAGAGCATGTGCTTTTTTGGTTACTTTATGAGACTCTCCTTTACGAATATTTATACCCCTCCTTTTTTTCTGGTTTTATAGGGTCAATCTTCTTTTCATCAGATTGCATGAAGAAAATTATTTTAGTAATGTATAATCCAGGAAAGCGCTCTATGTAGCCAATTTCCCCCTGGAATTATTACATTCGTTATCAAACGGTTGGGTCAGGTTTATATATCGGAGGGCATCGCATGGGCATGAAATGGATATGAAAGTCATGAAATGGTGGGGAATTAATGGAATATACCCTGGTCACTCTTTTAAACCAGCTGTTTTGCTGGACATTTGGAAAAGTAGATATTTAGAAACATGCCTATTTTGTAGGAGAATGGAAACCATCGGAAAGAAATCACATAAAAGTAGTATTTGTATCCTATCCTATCCTATTTCCATCTTGGATATCCGAAATCTCAATACTACTACTCCGCATACATGGTTGGTCAACATGAAACGCAGTACTCCATTGCCTGAAATCCGTCTAAGTAGTTCGTATCCAATTGGTTCCCATAAATGATAGCAATGGTAATGATGGTGTAACGAGGAGAAGCAAAAAAACAATAAAAAGGGGGAGCCAAGTGAGAAAGGAGAGAGAGAAAATAAAGAGACAAGGGAAAGAAAAAGCTATCTCAGTACCACCCCCTTCCATTCATCGGGTTATCCTGCAGGTACGCATCCATAGCACTTACGCCGTCCTTCTCCAAGTCCTCCATGAGCTCCATCTGCTGCGACTGGGACAGGCTGCCCTGCCTGCCGGGCGAATAGCCAAACTGCATGCCACCCGCCTCAAGCTGCGCAGTGATATTGTGAAGCCCCAAACCAGGTCCCGGCGATCCTCCGAATCCGCTCATGCCCGCCATGGCCTCGTTGAAATAGCCACCGCCCGAGGTGACAAAGTTGTACGGCGACATGAATTGCGACTGAGGGGCGAACCAATCCGATGCGGATGTTGGTGCAGGTGGCAGCGGTCGCTGGTGATGAACTGGTTGTTGTCCCATGCCCATGCGTGCGGCGGCGTATGTTGGCTGGGGCTGGGACTGCGACACCTGTTGTGCCATGATGGGTTTTTGAGGCGGTGACATGTTGCTCTGCGCTGAAAGAGGCGATGGGTTAATTGGTGTGGCGCTTGATGTCTGTTTGATCGCCATTGCCGATGGCGAAAGCCCTGGTCTAGAGGTCGGTATGTTGGCTTGAATGAATGAATCCGGCGGTGACTGCAATTGATGGGCTATGTGATCTGGTATAGGGATCCCGTGAGAAGGATCTTCCAGGCCTCCAGATTCTCCCATGTGAGTGGCATCAGGGGGGAAGTAAGAGAATCGTCGGTTGCCATTGTCTGTAGCCGGGTTGCAGAAGATGGAGTTTGAGCGGAAGGTGGGTTGCGGAGGAGGGTAGTTGGGGTCGAAGACGTAATTGTTCATAGACTCGGGGGACGAGTCAAAAACGTACCCAAACGTCGGAGGGTTGAGATAGGGGAGAGGCCGGGGAGTAGTGGCGTTTGACTGGGCGTAGCCTTCGGGAGAGGACTGAGACTCGCTTGACGCCGGGGGGCTGCTAAAGGAAAATGGCTCTCTTTCAAGTTTCACTTGTGCGTCGTAGCTTTGCAGGCATGCTTTGGAAAATATAGTGTAGAGCTGTGAAGTGGCTGTGGTCCCGGGCCAACGCTCTGCACACCGGTCTAGAGACTCCAATGCTGAGTTGACCAGCTCCTCAACCTCCTCCCGAGGGTGATTACGTCGAACTTCGGGATAGGATATCGTCCATAGGAGTGTGCTAAGAGCCAGGTTTATGGTCAGAAGGAACACCCAAGTGATATCCACCATATCGCCGGCCAGTTGCTTCTGGGCAAGGTCAATTGTGGCGGCAGAAGATTCATAGCAGATTTGCGCTGCACGAGGCGATGGCTGCGGGATTTGAGGAGATGGTCTATATAGCATAGCCCTCATCTGGTGATAAAATCCAGAAATCCTATTATTCGAGTTAGAAGACCGAGCTTGGAATTTGCAAATCACACCAAAAGGGGAGTATGAAATGGGGGCTCTAAACAAAAGTTGGCTTACCAAGACTTGGCCCATGGAGGTTCTTGAGGTGCAGCATCCAACCAATCCTTCAGCGTACTTTCCATATTATGGAACCACGGGTGATCATCGTTTTTGGGCTCCGGCCTCTTCCTTTCATAGAGAGTTCTCTTGATTTCAGACTGCGGATTCGTCATTTTGTAAAAATGTATGGTTGCAACCTTCCGTGCGTTAGGCGGACCAGGGACAATTCCTTGGGGTGTAATGTTTGCATCGTCGACGACGGAAAAGAACTCGACATCTAAGCGGTCGCTGTTGAGGGCGAATGCACTGGGACGGCCCATGTAATAGGAAAGCCCAAACTCCATGGTGGTGATTATCCATGCAAGTCTCCGGCGCATATCGATGATCTGGGGGTCCAAGTTGTAACCCGAAGTGATGGTCTTTTCATCCATCAGTCCCTCTTGCTGGCAGATTCTGGTGGCCAGTCCAATAACATAATAGACGGGCGTTCGTGTCGGGGTGAGCAGCGAATATTGCCCGATGAGGATGAGACACTGCAGCGTTTTGAGGTCCTTGGGGCGAATAATGTCTTCAACGTATTTCATTGCCGCCATGTAGTATCCGTCGGCCAAACCAGCATATTGCGTGTCCAATTTCTGCAAGCTGACGGCGATAACCATGCGAACGGTAAAGTTTTTGTACACATCTGTATCACCATTATAGACAGCATCAAAGTCTGCTTGGAATACCTTCTCGTGAAGCACAGGCCAGTGGATTTGAGCTAGGAACATCAGTATTGGACATAGACAACGCCTTAGAAGGGGTAAATGCCACTTGCATACCCTTTTTGAAGTAAATTTCTACCAGCTTATCGGCCACCGCCCGGGTAGGAAGACCCTCGGCCGGACATTCACTGACCATGGGATAGCTCTTCTTCCTACTACTCCCCGATCCGGTCATTTGGATGGATTGCATGCGAGCTTGGCTCCTAGCCCGAACCTCGGGGATGAGGTCAGAAATCTTGTTAGAATCGGTAAACCGCTTGGCCTCAGCCATGAGCAGTCGTGTCATGGCGATACCGCTGGTTGGCCCCAGGTAACGGGGTGTCTCGTCATTGCCGCCTAGACGAATCATCCCGCCTGGACGGACTAGTTCCTCGCTTGTTGGAGGATGGTCGCCGTCTTCATCGGTGTACTGCCCCAGTTCCGCCTCAAGGGCTCTGACCTTATCCTGAAGTGTAATTACATAGCGGCGATTGATCTTGCGGCCTTTTGCGGTGTCGAGATATTCACACACAGATCCCGACCTCTCGCAGGGTAGGCAGCGAGGTAGCGTAGGATCGCATCTTGTTTTCCGCTGCCATGTGATGTTAGTATTCACGCCGTTGTTTTCGTTGAGAGCTCGCGAAGAATGGATGGAGCAAGCAAAGCTCCCAGGGGGCGGGGTAGTTGTTGTATCGTACCTGGCGACAACGACAGCATGCAGTCAGCGTGTGAGCAACGCGGTGGCTCGAGGTATCGCCGTCAAAGAAGTCATCGGGACTTTGGACCAAGCTCCGAGGCTGAGCATAGCCGTGGTTCGGACGGGGAGCAACGGTGCCCAGACCCTGCCGGAAAATGTGCGCGGCATCCATGGGATCTACAATCCCCGGCACTGCGCAACCAGCTCCGACGCAGTTTAGATAACGAAGTTGAAAGACTTGCGCGCTCTGCGAGAACCGACGGTACCCCTACAGCTTCGCACTCTGTATGTTTTGTCGTTGCGACGTTGGATTCGCTCTGTTCGGCCCCAGAACGGAGTCAGGCCGGGACTCTGTCGGCACAGACCGCTGAAGACGAGGACAAGGACACGATGCTAACCAATTGGCAGCGGCGCAGACTTCATGACGGTGAAAAGCGAAACAGAAGGGCGCCGGTCGAGGTGGTGCTGAGACTAAGACGAAGACGCACAATGAGCACCCTGTCCGCCACTATGTTTGGACCTTGGCCTTGATCGCGGGGCAAAGGAAGAGCAAAGCCGGGGTTGTAGACTTACATACAGCACGCAGGAAGTCCAAGATTCAACGGCGTGTCTCAGCGGTTTGAGGTTAAGGCTGGCGCAGGACAGATGCAGATGCGAGATCTGAAACACGGTCAAAGAGCCGGAAACTTGTTACGAGACGAAGAGCAGCTTGCGACAGGAAAGGAAGCGAGTTGGCGGAGCGCTAGTACCGTTGCAGCGACTCGACTTGGGCAAGTACAATATCATCAACTCCCGCCACGGTTAAGCTTTGGCGTGTGGTGGTTGGTGATGACGGGTGACTAAGCATGAGAGTGAGAATGAGAATGCGAGAAAAGGGATTGGATTGGATTGGGATTGGGATTTGATCACTTCCGGCCGGACTGACTGGCTTGACTGACCAAGCAGAGCAGCCACCGTACTCTGTACTCTGTACTCTACAGGGACTGCTACAGCACTGCATCGTATGCACGTGAGCCCCGCGAAGTCCCTGCCGGCCCGGCGGAGCTGCTTCCATGTTCCCTTGCCTGGAGCGGATAACGCTGAGGGAATCAGGAAAGTGGGGGATTTCTGACCTGGCCTGGGCTGTGACTAATTCCGAGCTCAGCTTTCCAAAGCAGCCGGAGGGAATTGGACACATGTACTTTGGCACCTAACGATCCAGTAGACCTACCTATCCGTATGTACAGTGGCTTAACAAGTGCCTTGGCGGTTGTGCTAATGAGGATAGAGTTGAGCCGTTCTACCGTCTGAATTGGTTGCTGAATGAATCATGTTAGAGGGAACCTAAGGTAGGTGTAGCTACCGGACAGTACTGCAGGTACCTGGTGGTAGTTGAGTGGCCCAGAGTTACATGTCAATAGCGCTCCATGGCACTCCATGGCAGCCACAGCTAAAGCCGGACCCCGACGGATGGAGGCTGTAGCGACAAGGTGGGGGCTTACGGAGCAAGGGTCTCGATTGGTATAGCCTCTAGAGTCGGTCTGCGTAGAGCTCTAACTGCCTAGATGCCGCAAATGCGGGCACTGTGAGGTTGCGTCGTATATCTACAGATAGAGAGTGACTTGCCGCCTAGCTGCCCAGCCGCGGAACAGAAGACTCAGCAATCCGTCACTACGACCTTCCTCTGCATGCCAATGTGCATATATGGATCATGTACTCCGTATGTACGAGTTTGTATGTATGTGCCTGCTCCGTATTGTTAGGATGTTTCAGGTGTCACGGATAGATATCCAAGTACGAGTTCTGCTCTTGCGGTGTGATATGATGCAGGCACCGGCACGGGAAATCTGATGGCTCGACAATCACACGAAAAAGTTGGGGGCCACGGGACAGCCGGTTCGCGGATGACGTTTGGACTAGCTTTTTTGGAGCTTGCCGGAACTCTAGGCTAAGATGATAGAATAATACTGTACTTGACTCCTCCAGAGGTATGGAGTTTGATGTCAGCAATCTGTACTGTATGTATATCACGGCAACTGGGTTAGTAGTAGGTGGCTTGGATGGAGCTGAATGCAGTAATTAGATTCCCTCGGTCTCGTCTCGGGGTAGCGATGACACTGAAAGAAAACATGAAGGGAACAGATAAGCCATTGACAACTTGGCTACAGACATATATCTATTATTGGAGTATACTATCCATGCAATGTGTCTGTGGTTGGCACATCAAGGTGCGACGGCTAATTTGTCTTCGTCCGAGTCGGGTAACGGCATGAGGCAAAGCCAGGCATTGGAACCGGCGGCCCAATGAAGCAATGATGCTCCATCATCCAACCCGTTTCGTAGATGCATGGTTCAGCCAATTGCCAAGATTGGAGCGCTCAATGTACGCTACCAGGCCTCTGCATGTGAGCTGTCTGCTCAAGTATCTTACCTTTAAACGTTGAACGCCAGAATAAGCACAAGGCAGCCAATCACCGCTCAACAACTTGAGATTTTGCGAGCATCAGGAGGCATTTCTATGGAGCGCAATTATGTGGCCATGTCAGCTGGATAAATTAATTTAATTACATGCAGTTGTCGGTATGCAGTCATGCAACAGTTTCTGACGAGGTTGTTGTGACAAGAGAGGAACGCGAAATAGAGCTTGATTAGGAACGAATGAATCGCTGGATACCGAAGACACGGAGTACAGCTGGAGTACCAATGGATTTGATACGAAAGTACTCCGGCATTAGGTGGCTTGACAAGATGTGACTGGCGAGAAAAAAGAACGGGGTCAAAGTCAATTACTAACACATTGATCAGATAAGGCATCAAATATAGTCAATGGTCCATATGCAGAAATACAATGTAGCGATTCTTTGTTTCAGCTGTGCCGGTATCAGATTGATTTGTATGTACTCCGTAGATGGTGTCGATAAGCCTAAAGCCTAATACCGATCGTGCAACGGCACTGATCGATGCACGTTTGTAGGGGTCTCGTCCGATGTCCGTCTTCATCTCTCGCGGGTCCTAGCGCGGCATTCCAAAACAGCAGCAGAAGCGTACAGTAGCTCTCACTTTGATCCATAGATGATTGCCTTCAGGTCAGATAGACCCGCAGCAAGGATTTATCAGCATCAATCATCACTTGCTCGGGTTCCTTAATTGCGCTCCATGTACGGAGTACTAGAGCCAACAATAGGCCTCGCAAGGCTGTGTATCCTGCCGTATGTCAGCGGCTACATAGCTATCCGGGTCAATTCAATGGATGTTTGACTTTTGACCAATACACTGCGACACGTCGGATTAGTGATTCAGCCGACATGTAGTCCATGCAATCATTTCAACCTCCTCCACCGTCATCAATGTCCATGGTAGGTACATTATGCAAGCACTGACTCTCTCTGGACGGTCGAGGTAGCATCGACTCGCCAAAGGATCACGGCCTAATACTGTAGGTACTCGTACAGGCTCTTTCCAACGCTGTCCAGGCGCTGTCACTACCAGTCCGATAGTGGCTCCTCCACTAAGCGACGCTAAGCCGCCTCAAGGCCTGTCGTGTCCCGCCTCCCGCGATTCCCACTCAACTACACCATGCACCTCTTGTCTTGAATCCCTTCGGCCTCGTCAGCCTTCCCGTCGCCAACCCGCCGCTTGTGCTCTCACAAATCCCACAAGATCTCGCACCTCGTCCGCTCTTCTCTCCAGCTTCGCAGCCTCAGTTTCAACGCTCGCGGCTTGCCAGATCCGCCCTAGCAATGCCCCGCAGTAGCTTCTCACATACCCCCCTCCTGAGAGTTTCGAGGCCGGTCTCAGCCTGTTCAAGATGTGAGTGATGATCCCGCAATGTGGGTGACGGAGTTGCCGGTTGAGCTCATGCTTATGCTTTCATCTTCTGTCCAGGTCGAGCTGCCAAAGTCAAGGTGAGTGCGGTCATGACCACGTGGTGGCGCTTTCAACACCACAGCACAGCACAGCGCGCCTTGTCCTTGACGTCTAACCTTCTCAATCTCTCAATCTAGTGCGATGGCAAGCTGCCCGCTTGTACGGCCTGTGAAAAGGCTGGTCGTGAGAATGCCTGTTCAGCGGCAAACGACCAGTTTGCGCGAGGCAAGGAGCGGAGGTGCGTCGTCACAAGCCGTCCCTGCCCCAGTTGCTGACCGTAACACAGCTATGTTGCCGCTCTTGAGCTTCGCATCGAGAAGCTGGAAAGACGCATAGCATACGCAAAGTCCCGCAAGGCTTCTGTAGCTCTGCATGATTCTGACTCGCTGGCCACGGCCCAAGTTGACAGGCGAGACTCTCTCGCCTCAATCCGGGCAGCTATTCACCGAAAGGCCGCTAGGAATCGTGAGAACTCAGATGTCAACTCCTTGATATCTGACTTTGGTTTCTTGTATGAAGAGGCCTCTTTTCCTCTCCCTGCATTCGTAAGCAGAATTCTTTGTATCTGACAGCCTCTGCTTATTAGATCAGTTAATGCAACGACTCGGGACTTCGAGCCGTCCATTATCAACATGACCTTTGCGCGACTAGTTCTGGCCGCAGCAACCAAGGATCCTGTCCCAGGCATGCCTGAGTCCCCATTGCCGCAGAAGTCATACGCTACTGAAATCTTTCATCACTTTATGAAGAACATATATCCGCTCTTTCCATGCTTTTCAGAAACGGCGGCCCTCAACATCCTGAACGACATCTATCACCAGCAAAGTGAGCGCGTCATCAGCGCATCCGATCATTGGCTGCTGTACATGATACTCGCCATTGGATCAACTATGCAGAGCCAAAAGGTCAACGATGACTACTACAATCTCGGTGTCAGCTTTGTTTCCAGGGCGTTGGACTACGCCGACATCGCCTTGGCCCCTGGATACGCCACCCAGATCCAATCGCTCCTCCTCCTTACCCAGTACGCCATTTTGGATCCAAACCATTTTGACAGCTGGCTTCTCATAGGCTTCACAGCACGTGCTGCTATTGATCTTGGGTTCCACCAAGACCCTCCCATGTCTACAGTCGTCGATCGTGCCGCCTTGGATATGCGTCGGAAGATATTTTATTGCACATATGCTCTTGACCGGTTCGATATTTCCATCCCCTTGTGCCTCTTTTCTTTGGCCGATGGCTTTTTCTTCTAACTCTTAACCCTAGATCCATCAGTATGGTTCACGCTCGAACATTCTCATTCACTGACGATGCAGTCCACGTTGC